CTATCCGTGCCATGGAAAAAGATTATAGTTATAGGTAAATAATTACTTGTTAGGGGAAAAAAATCCTAAAAAATACTACTTAAAATTTGAATTTTCATATCAGTCCTGTGTTTTACGTTTTAATAATAACAACCCATATTTATGAAAATCATTAATTTGAGATTTTGAAATTAAGTAGTATTTTTGAGGATTTTGCTTCTTTCAAAATCCGAAACACAGATATAAATTATTATATAGCTAGTAATAAACTAGAAAACCAAGTGTTATGCCAGGTGTGTTTTCAATCTCTCATGTTAAAACTTAAAAGTTGAGGGGTTAATATATTTTTTAGTTCATAAAATTTCGGTTTATTTTTATTTAAGTCGCTTAAATTTTAATCGTGAGAATTATTAAGAAATTTTGAGGAAGAAATTTAATTACTAATGACAAATGATCAATTTGAATATGTTGTCATTTCTTATTCTGAAACTTGTTATTACTTACTCTTTACTTGGCGATAAACTTTAAGATAATTAAATCTCATCATTAGGACATGGTTATAATTCTCCCATTTCAAATCCATGATTTCAATCATTGGAATTTAGTTAGTTTTAAAACGTTAATATCTAAAAGTGCAATAGTATTAAAATCTATTAAAATGTCAACAAAAAAATTATGATGATGTGGATTTATAAGATGACGCTTGGTTAAATCTTGTATAGATAACAAAAAAGTAATAAAAAAAAAGTCTTCATATGGAGGCTGTTTAGCCCCTTGTTTTTTTTGTCTTGGAAGTTATTCTATTATCCAAATGAGATCTAATTAGATATTATTTGATGAGTTAATATCACCACTTTTAATGATATTGACGATGATACTTTAACAAATTTTGATCATTGTTGCACCTATAGGAACTAATGTTTTAAGACAGAATAAATTTAAGAGACTAAAATTATTAGTTTGAAATTTAAAGAATAGAAACTAAAATGGGTTCAAAGTTGTAAATTCAAAGTTGAAACTTTAATTGTAAATTACTATTGATTCTACAAAACTCATCTGATTCTTAATATAGAACGTAATTATTAAGTTAATTTTGATTTTAAATATAAAATCTATTTATTATATTTATCATTTTTTTTCCTAAATTACCTATGTATATACTTCCCTAACCATAATAAAATAAGGGAGGGAGGAAATATATCAAGAAAAATGATTATGATATTTTTTAAAAAAAAATGTGATATTTTTATAATTAATTAACGTATCTAATTTTATTTAATCTAATCAAAACAAACTAGATAAATAGATATTATGTTAAGTATATGAAGCGGGGCCGCACACAAGCCACCGGGGAGACGAGCGAAGCAGAATAGCGTAACCCAGGCATCCAAGAGAAGAGAGAGACGAAAGAGCGATGTCTTGTGCTTGCGGAGTGAAGGCCATCCGTCTACAGGTCCAGCTTCACACATGTTCCTTGCGCCCTCCTCGTGCCCCACCATCCCAGATGCTCTCTGCTCTGACTCCCTCCCTCCCTTCCATGCCCAAGCTTCTCTTCCCCTACAAACCCCAACCCAGACCCACACTCGCAACCGCGCCCCTTCGTTGCTTCTCTGGTACGCCGCTTTCTATTTCTCCTTCTTCTCTTTTTCCTTCCTCTTCTTATTACCATTAATCACGCGTCTCGCCCCCCCCCCCCCTTCTTTTTCCTCTGCCCTAGGGTTTTCAAGAATCGCTAATTCTCTGCTTGCGCCGCTCCCATTTCTCAATTTACTTGCTTATTATTATTATTATTTTTTTAATCCTTGATGTTATTATTTGCTTTCTCAGAATTCCTCTATAGATTCTCGTAATTTGCACCCACCTGTCCCGCGCGCTGCTTGAATTGATTTTTCACCGCTCCCCGGCCATTTATCTGACATTTAAATTAGTTGGATTTTAAAAAAAAAATTTCGTTAACACTGTCGCCCATCTAACTTTGGTTTTTTTTTTTTGGACGGCGAATCTCTTTTATGAGTTAGTACTGTCTCACGGCTCTTTCTGTTTTCTGTGCCTGTTTTGGTGCCCGCACCCATTTTTACAGCGTTAACTCCTGAACTCAAGTCCACCTTGGATAAAGTCATTACTTCAAATAAAGTGGTTCTATTTATGAAAGGGACTAAAGAGTTGCCGCAGTGCGGATTTTCGAGCACAGTGGTCCAAATATTGAAATCTTTCAATGTGCCTTTTGAGACTATAAATGTCCTGGAAAATGACTTGTTACGCCAAGCTCTGAAGGAGTATTCCAGCTGGCCAACCTTTCCTCAGCTATACTTAGATGGAGAGTTCTTTGGTGGCTGTGATATCACTGTTGGTATGTCATGTTTATTCAATTCCACCTGATTTTTTTGGTTGCTTTGCTCAATTCTGCCCCACTCACGTTCCGCCATGCTAATGCTCGAATGACGACTTAGGCATATCATGCTAATAATTTCAAGTTTTCAAGAATTTGACACCTGCTAGAAGTTCAATGCTTTTTTCCCCCCTTGGTGCGTGTGTTAAGAGGAGGCGTCAAAGACCCCCAAAAAGACACTAAACAAATACGGAACTACAGCACGCGTGTGGTAGCCGCCCGCAATGCTCTTACTGAGTCTGGTTGCCCATTCTCCGGTGATTTCCCCGCTGGTGGGATAATTAAAACAAGACCAGTGGCGACTGTAATTGTTAGTGGTTAATCCGGAGCGAATGAGTTGTCTAGGAAACGACTATGATGGACTTATAGTGTTTTATATTTGACGTGGGAAAATGAAAGTCAATTTGATAGTATCCAGTATAGTCTTCTATGTATCTCTTTCCGGAAAAGTAGTGCCCACACTGGAGGGCAGATTTTGTTTGTATAATTTTAATTTATAGAGTCTCTTAATCTTGATAACAGCACGATTTTCGCATCTTATATCATAATTTATGTGCATAAGAAGTTGCCATTCATGGGAAATATCCTTATCCATGACCAAAAATGTAGTGGATTTCGAATGATGCTGGTTTTATGTATTCAATGCATTCATGGCTTGCACTCCGTCACGTTTTGTTTGGCTGCAGAGGCATATCAGAGCGGAGAATTGCAGGAACTGCTGGAGAAGACGATGTGCTCCTGAAGCATCCTTTAGCAATTCATTCATGCTGGCTGCCTATTGCGATTACTGCACCGCAATCATCCTTGGTATTTGGGTGCAAACCGGTCAAGGTGGCTGATGAGAATCAAGAATATCTCACCGAATCAACTATTGTTGCTTTGTGTTGTGTCCACGACCTTTGTTCAGTTCAATCATTTTTACCTCCCTCGCTTTGTACAGCCTTTCAAGTGTGCCATGTGTTTTCAGTTCAGTAAAGCAGTCTGCTTTGTTGTCCGCATCTTTTATCTTAATATTTTCCTTTTATTTCTATGAACCTATTTTTTTGGAATGTTTTATAAGTAACTTTTCAATAATGATTTATGAAATATAAGTTAAGTATGTAAGAGTTTTGTCTTGATTCGTGTTAGATGTGCTTATTGATACTTATGATTGTGATTCAAAGAGGCGCTAATTCAACTGCACAATTCAACGTGCCACACTTAGTGTGAAAGATTTTTTTGATTTACTCCTCCGGTCCTAATTATAAGACCCAATTGACTTATTTGAGGAGATTAAGGAAGTAAGTTAAGTTGGTTATTTATAATAAATAAGTGTTATCATTCCTAAAATATCCTTGCTAATTAAGTATATTGGCTAAAACTATCATTATTAGAAGGATTATCTTGGAAAAAAATGCATAAATATAATAGACAAAATGGATTAGGGTCTTATAATTAGGACCAAATAAAAAGTCAAATGGGGTCTTATAATAAGGACCGGAGGAGTATTATTTTGTATGACATAAAAGAGTAAATACAAGAAGAGTAGACAGATAAGGAAAATTAAAATGCGTTAATGATGGAGTTTTTTTCTTGTTTTCTTTGACAAGAAAATGATGGAGTTTACATTCAGCAAGAGAGTTTTGAATTAAGTTTTAACGTGTTGCAACTTTGAAGAGGGACGAGGTAGTGGGAAAGTAGGTGAGCAAGCTCCGAACTCAAGCTTAGTCATCCCCAAATAGCAGACCCCCCAACCACCAGTCGACCACTTTGACAATGGTAATCATCATTTGACTTTAAAAAAAGCTGCACAAATGAAAGGCACAGAGCTGTAATATTATTGCCGCTTGTCACACCATAGTTCATCAAATAAACTTGGTAGTGAATATTTAAAGCTTACATTCCTGCATTTGAAAAATGGCTTTAAGAAATTCATTTCAAAGCATATATGACTAATTTTTTGATTGCAATTCCATGAACTTAATCTCAGTCGTGTTTTATTAATTGAGTTTAATACTAGTCGTTTCTTTATTTATATGCGTATATCTGAAGGTACGAAGCAAATTAATAAATTACACACATGCATAATTTAAAACTGTTTGTTAAAAATAATTATTTTTGCAATCTGTTGTTTTGGGATGGACTGATCCAAATTCTTCTTCACATGTTCTTTCCTCTGCCGGGGAAAGCATTAAAGTTCAGCAGTTCACGAAACAGGAGCTGGTCCAGCTGTCAAAAAAGAAAAAGGCTAGTTGGCTAAGCGTCATCTACCAGTCTGCCATGTGTGCACAAGACCGCAAGTGGCTTAAAAAGCAAACGCCTTTAATGAATAAATTTACCTACTCTTATTTAATTTAATTACAAAACATGTCCTCCAGAGCCTGTTTCGTCCTCGGAGCGATGATCGGCATCACGAATGTGGGATAAAATTTAATTCATTCAAAATTAGTTTTAATAACTTAGATTAATAATTTTCAAATAAAAATCTATTTTTTAAGGACTTATACTTAAAACTTTATATTTATTATAAATGATGTACCTATTAAAAAAATATTTTTTAACTGATTCGGTTTTTGTCCTCCTGGTAGCGTGGAAAGCCGGGTTTATGAAGAAAATGAATAAACTTTTTTTTTTTTGGGCCGGGGGGGGGGGGGGTTGTTGCGCTGCGCCGCTGCGAGGAGGAGGCATGTTCCAGAATTACCCTGATTGGCTGTCCAAACTCTGAGACGAGGCAAAAGCAAAATCACAAAAGCAGACAGCAAGGGGAACTCAAATTTCTCCCTCTCTACCTCTCGTGCTGGCTAGCTTGCAGCCTTCAGGTGTGAACATTCCTTTCTTTATTCTTCATCCTTCCCTTCTCTTACAGCTACGCATCGAGGCCTGGAGCACGTAACCCTCGCATCCTTCTTGGTGCAGCACACAAACAAGCACGATCCTTCTTCCATCCTAAAGCGAGATCTTTTCTTGATGGCTTGCCCTCTAAATTCCATCCGCTATAATGGCTCCCTTTGCGCCTGCCCACCTGGCTACCTCCTTATTCGCCCCTCCAACAACTGCACCCTCTTCACCGCTAACTCCTCCATTGCTACTGAATCCGGAGTCGACTACTATGCTCTCAGCTTTCCGGAGACCATCTTTGCCTTTGATTCCATCAAGAAGTTTACGCAGTCCCAGGCTGTGTTCTTGGAGGCCACCCTCGTCATGCTTCTGTCTTGGCTTCTCCTCTGTTTTTTCTTGAGGTTTACGAGCCTTGGAGATGGCTCTACTGTATGGTTTAACATCAGATGGTGGATTAGTCGTTTGGATGTTTGTTTTGCCACAAGGCATTGGCTGGTTAGTCTTCCCCCCCCCCCCCCCCCCAAAAAAAAAAGGAAAAATCCTAAAGGGGCTTTATTTGTTTCACTCATCTGCTAATCCTACCATCATTCTTCACTCACTTATTTCCTTCTTCCTTCTATTTTTTCATCTAAACTACCCTTCACCATGGCTTCCGTCGACTGTCAAGCATAGGGATGCTGATAAAAGATTGAGGAATTCAAGCTCTATTTTGCGTCCCATTTTTCTCAGCTATGCATGTCATTAACTAGTCACTTACTGGGGCCTATTTCCTGTATTCGGGATAAAAGAAGCTCCTTGATTTCACCTTCCTTAATTTATTGGTAGCGCAAAAATACAGCTTACAGATATGGTTGGATCAACATCACCACTTAGGCTAGCCAGATCCTGTGATTCGTATCTATTGCTTCCCATATCATGTTCACTTCATTCCCATACCAAAGGCATACAAAAAACTGCAATCTTGTTTGTCATTACGATAATTTCACATCTCACAGTTTTTCGTGACTGGTTTATGTGGTTACATCTCTATTCAATTTGAAATCCACGTCACTTGACGTGGACCTGCAAGAAATTTTGAATTGTCTGTGAATATAATGCAACGCCTGCTTCATCATCCTATTATAGGTGTGCTTGTTAAACTTATGTGAGAAGAATAATTTATCTATAACTGCTATTTTCTCGTATAGGATGATCAGAAGGTAGTTAAAAAGCGCAAAACAGAACTTGGCGGAACCTTCTCCATAGCAAGTTGGATACTGTTTATTGGTTTATTTGCTGCGTGAGTATCTGATAACTTTTGTATTTAAAGAATTAGAATTAGAATATTTTTAAGGGCATCTTCTTTTTTTTTTTTTTCCCCCGCCCCTGGGAAGTATCTAACCTCGGTTTCCTTTCTGCCAAATGCCTTCTGTTTTTTTTTTTTTTTTTGATTCGACCTATCATCAGGTTGCTGTACCAGATCATATCAAAAAGAACAATTGAGGTGCATAATGTGAGAGCTACAAGCAGACCGGAATTAAATTCATTTATGAATGACATGGAGTTCAACATCACCACTATTTCTAGCATGAGCTGTTCAAATCTACGTGATCTGGGTAGCTTAGTTACCGGAAATCCTGGATTTATTGATCAAAGAGTTGCTTCTCTATCGACTTTGGCAAACTACTCCTGCCACAACTCAAGCAAGGGCCCAACCATAACACTTAAATGTAAAAACTGCAAGCTGGCTCATGATAACATGTACATTTCTTGGCATTTTGCTGATCTTCCCAATAATCCTGCCACCGCTGTTGGGTTTGAGTTCAATCTCTCTGCAATGGATGATTTAAACAAGTACGTGAGTTTTGTTAGTGGAACCCTAAAAAATGGAAGTGCTTTTGACGATAGACCAGTTACATTCAGAGGGAGGGAATCAAATATTTTAAAATTTAATTTGTTCCCTCGAATATACCATAGTTTACATGATTTGAAGCTAATCCAACCTCTGTTTCATGAGTTCCTGCCTGGCTCGATTTATCGTGATACAAATCAACTGCAGGCATCCCTCGAAAGTTCTGTTGATGGACTATTAAATACTACATTGTACATCAATTTTCTATCTTCTTATATTGTGGAAATCAACAAGGAGAATATCATGGGTCCGGGTAAATATCTTTTGCCAACTTGTATACGTACTTGACTGTCAATCTGCAATTTTTCTAAGTTCCATATGAATTTCATGTTCACAGGAGCACTTTCAGTCCTGCCTAATTTCCTCATTTCCTTACGAAATACTTCTGGCTCCTCACTTTCAAGTCAATCTGGCTAACCTTATGATCTCTCTAAATTTTACCCACTCTCACCAGCACACAGACACACATTATAAGTATGAGGTTTTATAATATGAGCAAGTGGGGCTGCTTACATTATCAGTCTTTGGGTCCTGGTGTTAGATTTGCTTGTTGGCCTTGGGGTTAGGTGATCCAGTAGCTTTTCCTGGAACTATGCGTCTCTAGTTGGTTATTGTTTTGATCCTTTGATTGTTAGAATGTTGAATTGATATTGAATCTTGAGAGCTCGGTTCCTTACCCCTTGATCCCCTTTTCTGTCTTGCATGAGGATGTCTCGTCAAACTAACATGCCGTATTTGTTGTACTAATTTGGGCAATTAAGGTTATGGAGCCATTGAGGCATTATTATTATTGTTGTTGTTGTTGCTAGGATGCTGCTTTCTGTTATGAAATTTTAACTGTCTCAGAAATTTTGTATTACTGATTAGATAACATATCGTCATATCCTTCAGACAAATATACTTATATATCAATGTTGCTTCGAACTGACATCTATCATTCTATCCTTTTCTGTTGCGAGGTGCAGTGAGCTTTCTTGCAGATCTTGGTGGCCTGTATTGCATTAGCATAGGCATTTTTTTCTACCTGTTGATACAAGTATGATTTTGGTTCCTTTAGTCTTTCTCAGTATTATTATACCTATGATTTCTTAATATTCAACCTTCGCACTTTATAACTGTCTCTCAAATAAGACAAGCAAGTAGTTCGTTCATTTTTCAATTGTATATAAAGACTCCAGCGCAGATCTATGGCCACCTACATGCATTGTGGTGGAAATTGTAACGCAAAAAAATGTTCTGGTTTTGTATAAAACTGATTTGTTAAGATTTTTAAAACATCCGTTCATGCTATGACTTTCTATGTGGCTATCCTTTTATAGATGTTGCGTTCTATATTAGATGATGGCGAATGGCTGATAGCAATCATAATTCTCTTATGACTCATGCGGTCCATATTTTGTTAAATTGTAGTGTGAGTACAGGATAAAGAAACTCCGAAATGAGGATAGTGTTTTGCGGAGAATTAGAAATCAGCACAAAGCTCGAGAGCATTGGAACAAAGTAATTTCTTGCTTGGCTGATTAAAAGATTTCTTATATGTCATGCTATTAACTTTTGATTATATATCCTTTTGAATTGTCGGACTGAATGACCGATAATTTCTGCGTTTAATTAGTTGAGAAAATATGTAATGTACACATACGGCTATAACACTGGAGATGACATATACAAGAACTCTAAAATGGAATCAAGTTGCAGTGGGCTTATGTTGCAATCAATTCGTGGAAGTGGGTCATCATGTAAGCGAAGGCAACAAAGCAGAACAGATTCAATTAGTTTTTACAGGAAACCCAGTGGAACTGCAACCAAGGTAAAGCTTCTGTATCCATTCTAAAACTAAGCTAATTTAGGTGTTGTTGCATTTTGGGTCGATCTCTCTCTGCTTTTCTTGAGGTTGGTTTGTATGACATGGATCATTGTGAAAAATAGCTTAAAATGGTACATTTGTACTAGTATATATACTAGAATATAAATTGGCCGTAAGTTTTGGAAAACATGACGTTGTTCTTAGGAGATTAGGCTGTATGATCTCCGCATCTCCATCATATCATACTGACCACTTCTCTCAATAAGATGATCTTTAGGTATGTAGTATCGTTTATGTAATCAGCAGTAGGTTTGAAGTTTTCCTTTCAAAATTAAATGAGAATTGACGCTGCACTGTCGCAAGAAATTATTTATGTTCATCTTTCAATGCTTCTTTTTCCAGTCATTGAGCTGCAAACCACTTGAATCCACAAATGACCAGAAACAGCATTCAGAAAATGTATCAAAGCAGCAGAGTGTTGGTTCAAGTAAAGAAATGGCGCGGTCTCAACCTCAAGAATCTTCTTTCATTGATAACTTCATTCCACCACCACCTTCACTAGGTAGAAATTAATTTCTGTTTGGGTTAGCATGCTTATTATAGTAAATGTTATTTTCCATGACAATTCACAAAATCCTTTGTTGGAACATGCTTTCTAATTAAAAAATACTGCAAATTGTTACTTTGTTGAGCCTCTGAAACTGAAATTGTCGATCCGGTATTTACTTACCATCATAATGTTTTCCATGGTTCTACAAATTCTCTTGCCTGTGATCTCTCATTCTACATCTGTTACTCTAAGATCATAGGTCATGGCATGGCTACTGGTTCTGCAGCTGTTAGGTCTCTGTGTTAATTACCACAGTACATAGATTAGACTAACAGAATTAAGTTACTTGTAACATAAATAAATCTTACTAATAGAAATAAATTATACTAAACTTGATATAACTATGTTATGTAGCTTGAGCTTTTTAATTATCATGTATAGTCAAACCTTAATATGGTCATGGCAAAATTATATGTTAAACTTTTATATTCACATCCCATACGTTATGCGTTTGAGTTATGCATAAAAAAATGATTGCAAATGCTTTATAGCTGTTCGACTTCTGACTACCATTCATTTTCTTAATGTTGTTTAGTTATTTATTTTCAGCAATTTTGCCAATCTTTTTGCTTACTAATTTTTTAATGTTATTGAATGCTTTTGATACCTCACATACATTTAACTTGTCATTTGTATGGCAGAATTTAAGAGTGATTCTGAAATGGACATGTCTGATGTCAAGAGGAATCTAAAACGTTTACATGAGTATAATGTAATGCTAAGGGAAAACTTGGTGGCTAGGCAGTCTCTGCTTCATTCTCCATCATCTAGGCATTCATCTCAAGTAAACAGTAATCAAGGTGAAGTTTAACCAGGTTTTTCTCTGGGGAGTGACGAAGATGAACTGAGAGCAGGCATTGGTAAAGAGAATCATCATCGATGCATGGATTTAATTCTGATATGGGAGTTGGTCCTTGATCGAAACAGTAGTTGGAAGTAATGATCAGAAAATATTCTGTATGAACCTCTGAAACATGTAGCAATGTAGCATTCCAGGCTAGATTCTGCTGCATTCAAAGCTGCTGGATGGATAAAGCATGGTGATCAAAGTTTTCATGATTTTGTCTGGTATTCTTTCATGTTCTTCTCAGATTGATCTTTTCTATGGTCGTGGATGTACTGTTTGTCATGAAACCATATAGCTGATGTTGGCATGGTGTCTGGTATTCTCAAATATTGGTGGAGCTATTTGCATGTCTATCTTGCAAATTAATTAGTTAGCCAGCCATCAAAAGATCCATTGGTGCATGCTAGACCATATCAATTAGGTTGGAAGAAGCAGGTTTGGTGCTGTTGGCGATATAATTGTATTGATCCTGGAGCGTAAAAAAGTTTAGGCACAGATCTCTATTTAGGTCTCCATGTGCATTTTCCTTTCGGGTAGATAAATGTGTATCTTGTTTGTATTTGCATGTTTCAAAAGTAATTATCAAACACGCCTCATCTAAAACTAGGCGGCCATCATGCAGTATTTGAAAATTTAGTCATATTGTTCATAACTTGTAAATAGTATTGCTTATTATAAATTTATAATGTCTTGTTGTGATATTGTCACATTCCAATCTGATTCCATCTACTTTTTGGTAGCCTTCTCAAGTCTGAAAAGCAAGCATTGATTTATGTATTATTCATGAGTCCCAACCGTGGAAATTTGTCCCGCCATATTTGGCGAGTGGGGTGGGAAAAGAGCTTATACATATAATGGGAGTAGTTCCATTCAGAAAGCATTTGGGTCCCCTCAACCAGTTCAGGGGATCTCTTCATAGCCTTTACATAAGGTAAATCCAGTCGATCTGATCATTTTGTGGATGCCAAGGAGCCACAATGCATTTTCAGCGTGGAACAATCTGATTGCATTGTTGGAAGCAGAGCAGGACAAAGACCAATTCCCTTCAATCATTTCTACTCTCTTTCTCCTATGCATCCCTCCAGCTAATTCCCTTCAATCATTTCTACTCTTTCTCCTATGCATCCCTCCAGCTCAATTTCTATGTCAGTATCTGTGACTCTGTTCCCACTGCCCATACAAAAACCATGCACCCCTGTTAAAGCATATAAGCCATATATTTTCTGTGTTCTAACTTGCACCACTTCTAGAGATGCTTGTATAGCTATGCCCGCTGCCCGCTTACCGAAAATCAGGAATCTTACTTTTAATGGTGAAATCAGGGAAACAGGAGAAGTGTGAACTTCACACCGCTTTGATGGGATTCTTGTGTACAAACATCGAATACACCAATTTATTCCTGCCAATATAGCCATAAGAGGCGACGATGGTTCTCACGAATAAGAGGGATGTATAGTCTCCGTTAAATCTGATTCCAAAGCCAACATTCTCCCAAGCCATCTGACCAGTTTGATGAAGAAATGAAATCAAGTATGAATCCATGTTTTGAGCGTCACCTTCGCTGGTCCTCTCTCATCTCCTCCAACGTGGCCCTTTGACGGTGGACAACTGACATTATCTCAAATGAGGCAGTGAAGACACCCAATACTCCTCTGGTCCTAAATATAAGACTCTTATACTAGTGTGTATAAAAGTTTTATATTTAGGATCGAAGGAGTACCCGAATGTATATGCGACCTTTATAAACTCCAAGTTTCTGTATTATGCCTCAATAGTGTGGCAGGTATGGGAAAATAAAATGTATCTCTATCGATATAATGCTGATGACATTACGGAGCAAGTATGTCAACTCAACATAATCTCTACTTCTAGGAGTATCCTTTATCCTAGATGCACTGGGAATTATCAAACCTTAGGCTGCCGAAGGCCATACCTCTAGGAGGAACAAGAATTCAATCAGAAATGGGAGCCGGTTCATTCTTGGTTCCATCCCACCAATTTTGGCCCAAAATTTTTTTCGATTTTAACAAGTGAATTTACAAGTTCAACTAACTCATTTTCAAAATATGAAGCTGACGAAATCTTTAGAAAATCTCTCATTTGTTTTGATGTGATACCATTACTTGATATGCTTGCTCTTTAGCTCAAGCTGCATGAGGAAATACTGTTTCTGCCGCCGTTAAAATGTTATGCAACTGCAACCATGCATCGTGACAAATATGGGAATATGGGTTACGTCGGCGCGTGCGTGACTCGGCCAATATCCTGTCACTTGCCGCACGTCCGTAGACTGTCCAGTGCAGGCAACAAGGAATTGGCTTCATAATGTTTCATAATTCTATGATTCAATAATAATTTTATAAAATATTAAATATAAACCGCTCAAAATTTGATCCCATAGGGGAGAAAGAGTGGAGTAATACGCAAGTGAAGAGAAGCCAAACTCTAAGCAACAATGGGTCTCGTCATAGTGATTACACAGCGTTAACAGAAGAACCTGAATGGGAAATATGTTACATTAAAAATAAATACAACCCCTCCCCGTGAAGAAATGACCCGTTAAACCCAGCACGGTAGAAGGTCCGCGTCATTAAAGAAAACCTAGACGTTAACAGAACACAATAGACATCTACAATAAAGACGGGACTGCAAGGGTTGCGAAGTTTGGGAGACCGAACCCCATGCAGCCAACTCAGTTTCATAAACCACAGCAGGTCGACATGATACAGCTTCTTCTCGCTCTTCGAGGATACCAGTGAACCGGATTGTTGCTCAACTTGCTACGTCAGATTCAGTCATAACTGAGAAACCATCATAATACTAGGATAGTCCTTCGCCGGCGTGTCGCCAGAAAACATCAGGAATTTTAAGTAAAATGTGATCATTATTCATTCCGCTCATCAACAATATTGAAACCTGGCTGCAGCCCTGCGGATGTTCCATCAAGAGCATGGTACAAAAAATTTTCTCCCCCTTATTCTGTGTAGCTCTTTTTTAGTTCTCTACCACTACTAGAAGCAGAAGCAGCATCCTTCCCAGAGTGCACTCCCAAAGCATGGGCAAAGATTCTCCTCGCAGCTCCCAAGTGCTCCATTTTCATGTAGTCTTTACTTGCCCTATTGCCGTGTTTTACATGTTGGGAGACTTGTGGTTTGTCAGCATTCCTTTCGTTGGATGAGGAGGAGTCGGAAGTGCTATCATTTCTTATTCCGCTGTTTGAGTTCCTTTTTGGGTGTATAGACTCTTCCGGACCTTTCACAAGGTTGGACTCTTGACTGTTCTTATCTTGATCATCTGATACATCCGTACATACTCTATCCTTCATATTATTGGTAGGCAAGCCATTCTGATTTTTTGAGTGGATGCTTTGACCTAGTGCATGAGCAATCATTCGGCGGGCAACCACAGGCACGCTTCGGGGCTTCCGTTCACCAGACCCTTTCACATCATCCAAATTCATGGAAAAAATTCGCTCACGAGAAATCAAATAAGCTTGTTTCCTCTTCTCTAGTGACTGTTGGATCGATGGTATAGTTGTTTGAGAGGCTGAAAAAAAGCAGCAGAAATATGAAGGCCTGCTCAAGTGAGTGTGCCACACTTAATTTCATCAAGAAAAAATTTTCCCAATCATTCGCCGTGACGTCCCTAGTTTCCCCAAATTTCTTCCAGTTCTGCCTCAAAATCCCAAACCCCTGTCATCCTCCATAAACTTCTCCAATCCACAAGTCACTTCCCATTCTCAAGTTCTTGCTTAGTTCAATCCAATAGCTCTTACAAAACTGTATTAATTCCATTTCAAAATCCCTAATTCCTTTTACCAAGTCTCGCACACTCCAAATTCTTCTCCCATCTAGATATTCTTCCCCAACTTTTCAATCAAACATCCCCGAGTTCTTTCCCCCGCCCTCAATTCCTAATTGAAAGTGTTTTTTGAGATAAAATTTGGAAATATCAGCTGAAATTTGAGGTTTTCAAATTGATAATTAACAAAAATTAAAGCATGAGGCAGTATTGTGTCAAAGACTTAATGGACCAAACATGAAGGCAGCAAAATGACACTCAAACGGAAAGTGAAGAAAACCTAAATCATAAGATAGTATATTATATTTTACTCATTTATTAACCATGGAAGATTCTATAGCCAAGATCAATATAGTGCAGAACATACTACAGTAAGTGACAGCAAGGAGAATAAATGGCTGCATGTATTACCCGGAATGGTTTCTTTTCTCCTTAATATTTGGTGTGATGAATTCAGATATTGAGGCTCATCATATTCCCAGAGGATATCACTAACCAGGATGGGAGGTCTGCAATATATCCACATACACAGATTATTTTATGAGAGACCTCAGAAGCATTGTTGATTTCTTCAAATGTAGAGAGACTGGTTAGATAAAATAATCTACTTGATACTTGATTTAAAACAGTGAGAAGGACAAGATTCCTTTTATTTCACATACATAGATGTCTCCGGACACCTCACCAGAACCAAATGGCGATCATCTCCTTCACCAACAGATTCATGCGCAAACCTGACACCAATAGCAAAACTATCAATTTTTTTCTCCAAAAGATACAAATTAAAAAAAAGAAAGAAAAGAAAAGAAGAACAACAATAAAGAAACCAAATTGGAAATTAGAGGTCAAGTTGCACAGAAATAAAATTTATAAAAAGAATACCCAAATATCTCTGCAAGACGATGTAAGAGAAGACGACTATAAGAGTTCATTGGCTCCAATTCCAAGACCCTATCTGAACTACAATTCGAGAAAAAACATAGATCAAGACATAGATATGATACAAGGGGAAAAAGGTTCTAACCTTTGTCTGCTATGTATTAAATTGAGGATGCATACACTGAAGTGGCACAAAAACCACCTACAATGAGATGCTACAAAAGACCAATAAAACAAAATGCTCGTCCCCCACAACATCTCTTCTTTTATCTATGAACTAAGGCACAGACTTAAAACAGTTCAATTTTATGTAAGTGTGATTAAGAGATGCACTACTATGTTTTTCAAATCAATAAGAAACATAGAACAGCAAACATTTTTATAAGCCATCCCCCAGGGTCCAGGTCCAAATGCAACGAAAATGAAAGGAGGAAAAAATAGGGAGAGTATGATCCACTGGGCATCCATATTTGTATATTACCATGCTCAAGGAAAAATTATTAGCATCATTAAAACCTTTTACTTTCCTATCAATGGCTTGGACTAAATCTCAGCCTCAAAATCAGTGAAAAGATGTCTCATAAATTGTTACCCTGTGTTCTCATCCTGAAGGAGTTAATTAGGGCTTCTTCCATAGTGAGAACTAGATGCTTGCAAGGAAGATTGTCCTTGACAAGAGAAGCCAATTCCTCGACCTGCAAACAACATAGATGTTCAAAAATATACCTCGGGGAAAATAGTCCCAAGTACAAGTTCAAAAAATTTTACAGCAATGTGAAAGCAAATAAAAATCAACAACACAGAATGGAAAAATAGCGGCATTCAGAAAAGATTAAATTTTCCGCCTTCTGTTCTTAATTCTTGAAAGTAAATCCTAATCAAAGCTGCCATTGCATCGCCTTAAAAGGAAAGCTAATCTAAGGAGCGGGCACCATACGAACAAATTGTAGTGCAAAACTAAGAGTTGATCGACAATTTAACATAAATTCCGCGTGAGATATGCATATTATGTCATCAATTGGTTACCCGATACTATAGGTAAA